GAATATTAAATGAGTTAATACATGTAAATCACTTGGAAGAGTGCCTAGCACTTAGTCAAAGTAAGATGGAGGACGGGGAGGGGGAGGGGGAGGACGAGGATGCCTTTCCTCTTCAGGAATGCAAGTGCCGTTCCTTCCACACCTATCTCAATCTCTCTGATCATTTTTCTATTTTCTTATTCACTTCTTTATGTATGATTTCCTCTAGCTTATCCACCATGTCTGATTGCATTTTCAGCTGCTTTTATTCTCACTTTTAATTTCTAATGTGGCTTTTCTCTCCATGTTTATACATTTTTCTTTCATTCTTTTTTGAGAACTGTGAGCATATTTGCATTCTTTATGTGGGCTTAAAATCTCTAATTTGAATTCTTATAACCCAACAAAGAGCTCTTTTCCTCTTTTTTTAAAAAGAGGGTAACAACATTATCTGTAATTTCTTTGACACTATGGACAATTGTTTTAACTCTCCTTATTCTTGGAGGGTAGTTCCTTTTGCGATCCATTTCCTTCATCTGTCTTTTGTTATGTTCCTTACAAAGCCCATACTCAAGTTCCATGTTAACTCTTGTGCTAACATTACTTATCGTGAAACACAGCCATGTATTTGTTGAAGAATGAAAATGGTCCATGGAGGGAGAGAACTGGGGTACTCGGTAGCTTCAACTTTAGTTTTCCTGAACATCTATCCACCAGGTCTTGTTATTTTTCTTGACCTGCAGTGTGTTCCCTTGGTTTGTATGTACCAGGTTTCATGACTCACAGAAAAGCCCCTTTACAGGCTAGGTTCCTTGGGTTCTAATCTATCAAACTCCCTCCCCCATAAACACACACACCAAATGACTGGATCACAGGAAACGAGGAGAGCGTGTCACCCTCAGCTCCATTCCCCCTGTGTCACTTCACACTCTGGATCTTTTTCTTTTTTTTTTTGGCCGTGCCGCACAGCTTATGGGATCTTAGTTCCCTGACCAGGGATTGAACCTGGGCCCTCAGCAATGAAAACACGGAGCCCTAACCACTGGACCACCAGGGAATTCCCCACACTCTGGATCTTGAAGGGGGCCTCTACTGTGGCTTCCCCACTTCTCCTGTCATTTCTTTCATTAAAGACTACTGGATACACCTTTCTTAACTAAGAGACTCGCTTTTAGTGAAATTTGTTTCTTGCTGGAGTCTGAGGAGGTGTCTGCTCTCAAATTACCCCCGTCCTCATCTATATTTCATAAAGTCTAGTAGGTTAACTAGACTCTTTTGGTTGCAATATTCCAAGTGACATAAACCTAATCTTAAGTACCATAAGCTGTTCCTGTCAAAATAAATCAATAAAGGAAAGAAGAAAGAAAGATAAAAAGGAAAGAAAAGAAAAAGGAAGGAAGGAAGAAGAGTGTAAGAGAGAGAGAAAGAAAAAGGAACATATTGGCTCATGAAACAGAGCAGTCTGCAGTGTGGATGTGGTGGCCTCAGGCACAGCTGGATCTAGGGGTTTATATGTCATCCTTGAACTCAGTCACTGTCTCCATTCCTCGGCTCTGTTTGTTTCTACATCACTTCCCAGACAGACTCACCCTCCACAAGGCAATGAAATAGCCACTGTTGGCTCCAAGTCAACATCATCTTTACAGCTTGTGAACTTGGAGAAAGAGCACTTTCCCCAAAGGCTTTGGCAAAAGTCCCAGGGAAGGATTCAATTGGTCTGGCTTGGATCATGTACCCACCTCTAAGCCAACAGCTATCATTCCACAGCCTATAGTGAGGGCTGGGAGGAGATGGAAGTGAAGGAGCACAGTTTTTTCCACTTTATAGATTAGAAAACTGACTCCCTGAAAGTGTTCAGAGACTTGTCAAAGAACATACAGCTGAATCAAGTGGCTGAGAGAGAACCAATCCTAAATCCACAGACTCTGGTCCCCCAACAAAGAGTTCTTGACTCTCCACAACTGAATGCTGTTGGGCTTTCCTCCTAAAAATCACATTTCCAAACCATGAGAGTTTGAACAATGTTTATACAGGAAGCCCTAAAAGGATTTAAAAAGCAGATGTATAAAGGGGTTCATCAGATAGAACCACTGGATGGATGATGGATGGAGATATACACACATACATATTCTAATGGAAGCTATTTTCAAAACATGGCAACATAAAGTAAGAGAAGACAGAGTGTTGTTAAGAGCAGGCCTGCCAAACCTTGACTGAATCCTCAAACGGACACACAGACTGTCGTAACTGGCACGCTGTTTGAAGACGACAGTTCAATAGGGGCTAGAGATTGCGTTCTCTTCTGGAAAGTGAGCGAGTGCTTCCTCCCCACCCCCCGCCCACCTTGCTTGCAATGATGTCTGCTCAGCATTTTTTTTTTTTTTGGCAGTACGCGGGCCTCTCACTGCTGTGGCCTCTCCCGTTGCGGAGCACAGGCTCCGGATGCGCAGGCTCAGCGGCCATGGCTCACGGGCCCAGCCGCTCCGCGGCATGTGGGATCTTCCCGGACCGGGGCACGAACCCGTGTCCCCTGCATCGGCAGGCGGACTCTCAACCACTGCGCCACCAGGGAAGCCCAGCAAGTCCTTTTTCCATCATGACCAGCATAAAGTTAAACTCCAGTCCATCCCAGGTCTGAGCTTATTCTAAATTATAGGTTCCCCTAAAATCAATGTGGTTTCATTGAATTAAACTACTCCTTTCTCTCCCTGGCCCAAGAAGCCCTGACATGAAGGTGGAGGCTCCCACACTGGACTGGCAGCAAGGACCCTGTGCGGGGAGCGTGACCTCACTTCCTCTGTCCCCTATGCAAGCTGCTCGCACTCCTTCTCAGCCCTCAGCCCGCTGTCGGTTCCTGCTGCCCCCTCTTCCACTTACGCAATCCCTTCCCTCTCTTCTCCTGCCAGCCCAGTTCACTGACAAGAGTCTTCATTTTCCACTTTCTGGTGTAAACATGGAAACATGTTAATTGAGGGTAGGGCTTTAGCATCAAGACTGGGAATACTCCACTGCAGAGCAAAGATCATTTCTGGGAATTATTCACTTAAATGTTTACCAGAAACAACTATCAAGTGTTCCAGACTGATTCACAAATGTAATTAGTGAAAGAACTGCGAATAGTTTCCATTTTCTGGTTTGTTTTAATCCTACTGTATAAAAATATCTTGTGGGGGAATCACCTCAACAAAAGTTCCATCCAATGACTAAAGGAGGTAAAGATTCCAAAAGCCAAAATGTTACTGGAAGTTACACTTGCCAGGGTGTATGGCAAACCCAAAACAGACACAATCACCATACGATGCAAAAGCCATCCTAACAAGGCAAAAAGAGAACAACTAGTGCTGCCGCCAGGGCCTCATAATTTTGGACAGTCAGGAAGAAGTGCCTCCAGTCCCTAATTGATTTCTCCTTTGCTGTTCGTGGGATAAAATATGTAACTGAAAATGCCCTTGCTGTCCCAGACTGAGGAAGACATAATGAACCCTGGCTTGCCAGATTATTCTGCAACATCTGAAGGCTTGCAAGAAGAAAAAAGAAAAAAAGAAAACAGCTCTTGTCTGGTTTTTCCTAGTCAACTTTAATTACTGTAAGGATGGGTGCAGCAAGATAAATGTTTCCTTTTCAGTTCAGTGCTGAAAGAAACACAAGTTTTCCTGCTGCCTTTTATGTTTAAGCTCTGAGGTCCGCAGCCTATTCTTATTCACTAACTGGAAAAGATTTGTCGCAATGGCTAGTTTGATGTTTTGTGCTCAACTCCCAAAGTCCCAATTTGAAGTCCTCTTCCACTTAAGGAGACATTTCATTTTTACTTTAATTTAAAAAATGTTCTGAATGCAAAGCGACATTACAAGGACTACTAGGTTGCCTAATATAAATTCTGTGTGTGCAAAGCTCTTCAGGCTGTGTCAGCAGACAAGGTCAGTTCAGCTAAACCAACCAGCTGCCAAGCAGCCAGTAGGGGTGCGAGGAGTTTTAAGCACACAACATGTGGACAAGCCAAAGTCAGACCCAAATCTAAGTGAGGGCAACAAGCATTTGGTCTTAAAATGGCCCATGGAATTTAATCTTGTTAAGCAAATTCGAGCTGGGCAGTTGCCCACAATGACCCAATGGAAAGTCATAGAAAAATATCTCTAACTGAGTGCCCCTGTCCAGTGCAAGACCTTCTGCCTATCTTAGCATCACTACTGGCTGGGACTGGAAAACAGAGCCTGCTCTGTTCTCCACCCTGGTTCCCCAGTTAGTCAAGGCTTCTTTAGGAAAATACCAGTGTAAGAATTCACACAGTCCATATAGTGAACATTCTCTACAACTTCTTAATATGGTAGGAAAATTGCTCCTCAATTTTCTAGGGGAAGCCTAGAAAGCCCTACACAGGAAGACGGTATGAATTTAGGGGTTCCTAGATGGGATGGGGGTGAAAGGATCACAGACTGGGGTGAAAAAAGCCTTATCTAGGAACATGGTATGAAATAGAGTAATCCTCAATCATTCATTTTATGAGGGATTAGTAGTGAGATATCATAGATAAGAGAAATCCATAGGACTCTCCTGTTTTAACTATTAGTTTCCAGAATAAATATTCTAATCCAAGTTTCTACTGGAGAATAAAATAAATCAAGTGTCCACTCTTTGGTGGAGTCAACAACAGCGCACTAACCTAAACGGAGGTAATGAGACATTCCAGCCCGGGCAAGAATCCCAAGTAACACAAACAGAATGATCAGTCATCACTCGAGGGCTTGCTGGAACAGCCCAAATAAAGCAGAGACGTTATTCTGACAGTCCTATCAAAGCAGCATTTTGGCAGGTATGAATGTTTTCCTGAGGATTAAAGAGCGAGATATAAAATCAACCCCATTCAGCTGTGAGAAGAAATCTCTCCTACTCATGCATCATTAACTTAAATTTTGTTTATATAAAAGGGGAAAATGCAAATCAATCATCTACATAAGACAGAGAGCAAACTGGTAAATGACATAGTTGTCCTGACTGGAAAGTTAAATGAAAAGAATACTGACCTTCCACTTCTGAGATGAGATGGCAAGGATGCTGCCCCTTTGAAAATTTCTTGCTCCTTGATTTCACCGAAGTCTCCGTCATATGTTAGCTGAGGTGGGTGACTCAAGTGGCCAATGGCATTTGATTCTGTTAAATAAATCCCATGTATTTTCACCACAGAGTCCCCCATCGTAACTGTTTCTTTGGATTCCACTCTCTTTGCTGTAATAACCAAGGAAACGTTTTGTCAAAGCATTTCTTATTTTAGGAATCACTATCTTTCAATATATTTTTTTCAATCCAAGAATTTATACAATTTTAAAACTACATATGGGGCTTGCCTGGTGGCGCAGTGGTTCAGAGTCCACCTGCCAATGCAGGGGACACGGGTTTGTGTCCCGGTCCGGGAGGATCCCACATGCCGCGGAGCGGCTGGGCCCGTGAGCCATGGCCGCTGAGTCTGCGCGTCCGGAGCCTGTGCTCCGCAACGGGAGAGGCCACAACTGTGAGAGGCCCGTGTACCGCAAAAAAAAAAAACAAACAAAAAAAACTACATATGACTTATAGTGATCAAGTCTGGAATTGTACGGATAAAGCCTCCCTGAACGTATGCAAGACCTCACCACTATTTTAGGTTTGACATCATCAATATAGCAGGTAAAAATGAATAGAATCTTAGCTCTATTAGCTTTGAGTCTACCTGTAGGTAACTACTCTAATTGAGGTTTATGAACTACCTAAGTCCACATAAATACTTCTGTGTCCCATAACAATTCTTTTTCCTGAATTTGATCATGTTAGTAACTTTTCATTCAGAAATATTTATTGAGTACCTTCCTGATGTCAGGCACTGTCCGAAGCACTTGGGATGCATTAGTGACAGAACAAAGATCCCTGCCCTCATAGGGCTTACATCCTAACAATACACCTGTCTACACAATAGACAATAAGTAACAGACCATAATAAATGAAGTATATAGATAATAAGTGCTATGGAAAAAAGAAAAAGTAGAAAAGTGGAGAAGGGTAAAAGGGGATTGGGAATTGGGGCAGGTAGCAATTTTGAACAGGTGGGCATGGCAGGCAAACCCTTACTGGAGGTAAGGCATCAAGCCATCACATGATGAGGGACAGTATTTCCAGCAGAGGGAAGAGCTGGTGTGGAGGCCCAAAGGCAGGAGTGTGCCTGGCATGCTCAAGTGGAGTGTGTGACGGGAAGGGGAGGAGAAAGGTGATCAGAGAAGCAGGGGCCGGCTCTTGGAGGCCCAGCAGACGACTCCCAGGCGGGGACACAGGAGGGCACTGAAACACTTAGAAGGCTTTCTAAAAAGGAATAAGATAAAGCTGCAAAAAAGAAGTCCAGACTCTGAACTGAAACACCTACTGTGTTTACGGCTACAGATCCTTAGACTTAAAATACAACACTGTTTCTTCATCAGCAAATTGACATTAGGAATAGCTTACCCACGATGCTGCTACTATACTCTAGTCCATGATAAAATATGTTTTTCAAAGGGGCAAGAGGGATGAGCTTCATATAGAGAAATAGTTTTGCAAGCTTTTCCAAAATGACTCAGGGTTTCCTTTTCTGCACTTGAACCATCAAACCAATAAAAACCAACAATAACAAATCCACCTTGTCTGCTCCTCTAAGTTCCGTGCTTTCCAAACACTGAATTTTACAACAGAAAGGAACCTTAGAGATTGGCTAGTCTAACCTTCATTTTTCAGATGAGAAAATGGAGAACCCAAAGGTAAGGTGACCAGTCTAAGGTCACAGAGCAGGTTCGGGGAGAGCCGAGACTGTATGGTGGGGAGAGCATGGGCTTGGCATTCCATCAGACTTGGGGTCAAGTACAGGCTGTGTGACGCAGGCAGCTCACTCAGCTTCTCTCCCCTTCCTCAAGTGGTCCCAAGTGATAATGGCCTGGTAAAGTGACTTCTGTGGTGATACCACACTCAAAACCCAGAAGTTATGATCATTATTATTAATGGAACCCACGAATCCTGACTTCTAGTCCAGGGCTCTCTCCACAGCACCAGACAACCTTAAATATCTCTAGGTCTGAATTACAAAGCACATACTTCATTTTAGATTACAAAGCATTGTTAGCCTGTCCCTATATTTTAGTATTCGTTTATTTCACTCCACAAATATTTATGAAGCATCCACTGCCGTGTGCCAGATGCTGTTGCAGGGGCTGGTGGTCCAGTGGTGAACTGAGAAGTCCCAGCCGCCATGGAGCTTCTGTTCTAGAGGGAAAAATGCAACCCTACTTGTGGACGGAGGAGCTGCAGCCCCTCTGTCTTCACAATCTACTGGAGCGAGCTGTCAGTTATTACTACAGCGAAGAGCGGCCCCGGGGAGCTTCCCTGGTGGCACAGTGGTTGAGAGTCCGCCTGCCGATGCAGGGGACATGGGTTTGTGCCCTGGTCCGGGAAGATCCCACATGCCGCGGAGCAGCTGAGCCCGTGAGCCATGGCCACTGAGCCTGCGCGTCCGGAGCCTGTGCCCCGCAGCGGGAGAGGCCACAACAGTGAGAGGCCCGCGTACAGAAAAAAAAAAAAAAAGAGTGGCCCTGGGGCTCACTCTTACTCCTGCTAGATGTCCACCATTCAACTGAACATGAGTAACGATGCTCTAGGTCTCTCTGGAAAATATGTGCAGCACGTTGTACTAATTTTGTAAGAGATCATGGTACACTTCAAAAGGATTCTACAACCAGTAGCCTTACCGTGTAGGAACTGTCCTGTTTCACAGATATTTTCTTTGGCACTTACTATAGACTACACCCTGTTTCATGCTCTCGGGCTTCAAATAGAGAAAACCCCTTTTCCTACTGAAGTTGTTCAGTCTAGTAGGGGAAACAGAGAGGCAGATGCGTCCAGACAGAGATTCAGTACAGTGTGGCCTGCGCCAGGTAAGGATGAGTAAGAGAGCAGGGGAGTCCTGAGGGGTTGGAGTTGGTCAGGGAAAGATTCATAGAGAAGGTGGAGCCTGAAAAGCATTCCAAAAGGTTAATAGGAGGCCAAAAAAGAGTTCTGAGAAAAGGGAACAAAAGTCTGGAGAGAGAGTCAGCTTCAAGTGTGTCGAAGCTGTACAGTCAAGCAGGACCCCATGCTTAGAAGGGCCTTGAACTTGGTTTAATGATTTGCTGTTGCCATCTTGAAATTCTAAACAATTTTTGAACAAAGAGCTCCACATTCTCATTATGCCTGGGTCCAGCAAATTATATAGCAGACCGCATGAGGCATGAAACAGCAGGATGGGTGTGGGGAACTGTAAGGGTTCCATATTGCTGGTGCGCAGACCAGAGGCAGGGGGTGTAGGCAGGCAAAGGAGAGGGGCGAGAAGGGCCTGGAATGTTAGGCTGGGGCAGAACTATGCACGCTGCACAGTGAAGACTTCATCCCCTGGACCAGGAGTCAGCAAACTGCAGCCCCACCAAATCTGGCCTGCCGCCTGTTTCTGTATAGCCTGCAAGCTAAGAATGGCTTTTATATTTTTAAATGGTTGAGAAAAAAGAAATCAAAAGAACAATATTTTGTAACATGTGAAAATTATATGAAATTCAAATTTTAGCAGCCATAAATCAGTCTGCTGCAATGGCAGAGCTGAGTAGGTTGAACAGAGACTCTGTGGCCCACTAGGTCTAAAACATTCACTCTCTGGCCCTTTACAGAAGAAGTTTGCCAACTTCTGTGCTAGGTCGGTGTTTCCCAAACTGTGTTCCCCAAAAGACAGATTCCACAGTCAAGTAGGTTTGTAAAATGCTGGGCTGAATTTAAATGAAACAGGTGACTTTACTAGATGGCCTTCCCCACCCTTTAACATGCTCACGTGCACTGTGGCTCTCCAAGAGGGAGGGGAAGTAGGCACAGATTGAGCACAGGACCCTTCCTCCAAGGAAAAGCTATTAATATTTTTGCCAAAAGTGTTCCCTGGAACTGTTTGGCAAGCTCTCCTTTAGGCATGGGGGGCCCTCTGAAAGGTTTTCAGCAAGAAGATGATGCAAATCTAATTTTTATTTGCTTCCTGACCTCTTGTCCCTTATGGCACACGGAGAGAAAACCATCATCTTTCATGGCCCACTGGGATGAAGGGACAAGGCTGCTGCTCACAGCCATGTCTGCGTGGGCGCTTGGTGCCCACGTTCTGCTGGCTGCTCCAAGGGCCAGGGTCCTTGTGCTGACCCACCCGCAGCCCCCCAGCGAGCGGAGGGTGGAGCAGGAAAGGAGCGCTGGATGACCAGGGACAAGGCAAGAGGTGATAAAAGCAGTGGGGCAGTGTTGGGATGGAGAATACAGACCCGGGGATATTTAGGAAGCCCACATAGGAAGCCTGTCCGTGGTGGCTAAGATGACAGAGATCGTGAGAAGGTGGAGCCTGCACTGAGGTCTCCGTCCAGCTGGAGTAAGGGGGACGTTAGCAACACGGTCACCTCCAGCCAAAAACCCTATTTGAACACAAGTGATTAAACTGCTGGCCCTACAAACATGACGACACACATCTTTTCTTTCACTTTCTTCAAACAGGAATTCCAAACCTGCCACGGCACCAAACCAGCCCTGCCTGGGGAGGTGTCAGCTACTAATGACTTCACACCAGGGGCAGGGACATTCTCTCTGTCTCAGTCTCCACCACAGGCCTTTATAGCCTGTTACCCAACAAAGGATACCTTTTCTAAACAATAGGGACTCTGAAATAAGCCCAGGGAGCTCCTGTACAAAGGAAAATGAGTCCAAGGCTGGAGCATTAGAATGGTTTTTTAAATTGGGTGATGTGTGCTTTTAAAAGACAATGACTTTTTACTGCCTCTGTTTCCTGGGTGCTGACGCAGACCCCAGGGATGATGGGAGTGGTGAAGGGGGCAACTGCCAACAGGGTGGATGGAAGAACAGAAACAGAGACATGCCTCGGCTGGTGGGGAAACATCTGTCTCTCCTGTCACCTTCACATACATGGCAACAGCTCAGCAAGCAGCAGGATTTTCAAATGGAAGCCACTGAGAGTTAAATGTGTGCGGCATTCAGGCTCAGAAGCAAAAACATCTGATAAACAACAGCTCAGCAACCCTCACTCCAGCTCTGCCATCCTGTTTACAAGAAGTGACCCTGTTCCTATCTGAGTCTGACCTCACCCTGCACCGTGGCTCCCGAGCCCATTGCCTCTCACCTTGGCAAGCACTCAGCTCCCGTAAGTACCAATTCTTTCTGATGTAACTGGTCTGACTGGGGCCCTGGTGGTGCAACATCTGAAAAGTCCCTCGGGTGAGTCTAAACGTGCAGCTACTATTAAGAAACAAATCAGATGATGTCTCTCCCTTGCTCAAACCCTGCCCTGGCTTTTCACTGCAGAAAGAATAAAGTCCTGGCCATGTCCCCCCTGGCCCGGCCCTGAATGGGCCCTGTGTCCTCAGCTCCCTCCCCTTTCCAGCCACATGGGCCTTGGGGTCCACCAGCCGAGTCTGCGCCCATCTCCGGCCTCGGCTTCAGCCTGGGCACTGTGTTTACAGATTTCCACCCGGCTGCCTTCTCCTCATTATTCACATTTCAACTCAGAGGCCACCTCCTCAAAGACACCTTCCAGAGGTGACACGATTCCTCCTGCCACAGTCACCCCCTAGCCCAGCATCTAGCTCACCTTCTTCTTAGCACTCAGAACCCAACTGCTGTCTTACTTCTTGGCTTTCCAGTTTATTGCCTGTCTCCCCTCACAAGCTCTTTGAGAGCAGGACTCTGTTGGCCTAGACTGGCACCTGGCAGTTAGTAGGGGCTCAATAAATACCTGATTGACTGTTAGAAAAGAAACAAACTGGGACATCAAGGTAAAGCAGATTGCCTAATTACACACTCCGTACGCCATCGAGGTGTGGTATGCACACCCTGCGCTGTCTCTGTCTCTTCCTTTCTCCTTGATTCTACCTCTTCAGCTGCATCAGGGATCATTAGGGACCAGACAGGAAAATGAGTGCAGTGGGCGGGGGAGACATGGGGACTGCAGATCATATCCCGGACTAATGGGGCTGGGGGCTACTCAGCTCAATCACTCCCCATGGGGGCTGCACAGAAAGCGGGCCCAGCGTTGCGAGATCTTCCAATTTTTCACAAAAAGTCATACATCTAGATTCTTCCATGAAATCTTCTACATTTAAATGTTGGTGACTAATTAAAAGAAAAGGCTTGTATGTCAAACAAGTAGGATCCTAAGGTGGTGGCTTGTAACTTTTGGGATCATCTTCAGATTATCTCCTCTCTCTGAGTGTAAACCTATCCCTCCTCTTCATCTATCCTGTTGACTGAAGGAGGGCCAATTCTATCAGCCCCTGTTAAAGTGGATTTCTAACTTTTGGGGCTACATATAGTAATGATAAATTTGTAATATAAATATAACGTATAGTAAACTTGTAATATGATCCTGAACACACATGTATGTGACTGAAGTCCTTGAAGCCATACTAACATTTATTGTCTGCAATATGCCCTGACATTTTTCATTCTATTTTATTCTACTTCATTGTTTTAAATGTTGGTGTGATCCACTAAATCGATTGTCATCCAACTAATCGGACATTTCCTACAGTTTGAAAAACTCTTAGTGTGCCCTGGACAGGGGGTGATTCCAATTATTGGGGGCATTCCGTAGGATGTGAGGTTTTTAGCTTCTCTGTTTCCAGGTTTAGATACATGCCAGCACTTCTGTGGCCACAGGATAAGCCCTATTCAACCTGTGCTTACATTTTCACACGGGATCAGAAAGGTATTTTCAAAGACCTAAGCTTAGCGTACATTATATGAATCTTAAATATGCCTAATGAAATTAACAACTTTTTGAAGTCTAATTTAGAAATGATTTCCAATATATCAATAGGTAAACGCATTCATTAAAGAACACTTATCCTAATATTCTTTTTCTACCAAGTAACTTTTCTTTTTTTTTTTTTTTTTTTGCGGTACACAGGCCTCTCACTGTTGTGGCGTCTCCCGTTGCGGAGCACAGGCTCCGGACGTGCAGGCTCAGCGGCCATGGCTCATGGGCCCAGCCGCTCTGCAGCATGTGGGATCTTCCCGGACCGGGGCACGAACCCGCGTCCCCTGCATCGGCAGGCGGACCCCCAACCACTGCGCCACCAGGGAAGCCCCAAGTAACTTTTTTTTAAAAAACCTTAATAAACACCCATAAAATGTTTCTTAACCAGCTTTTGCACAAGATTAACGAAGTTAACATAAAAAATCATGTGCAGTTTGAAAAACATGATATAAAAATAACTCTTGTGTGCAAACTCAAGAAACATGCTTGCCCCCAGGTTTTAAAGGATGTTATGTGGCCTTACGCTGAGCAGAAGGAAGAGTCATGTCTGGCAGAAGAGCCCCCTGCGAGGCCGCCCTGAGTAAGCGCGCCCGGGCACTGCTTATCCTTCTAGTCTTCGTGGGGTCCACTGGGGGTTTTGGAAAGGAAGGGCAGGGATCCTCTTCTGTGGCAGGAGATGCTGGAGTTTTTGGTTTCTGGAAAGAGATTTTTTTTTAATGATTGGCATGAGTTTGTCTTGAATAAGACTCACCACCCGGAGCTGGCCCTGACACTTCCAGAGGAGCACAGGGCTTCCTGCCTGGCTTCTCCCCAGCCCCCTGGTTCTCCGTCTCATTGGCCCACCTTACTCAATGTGTTAGGTATATAACACTTTTTTATTGTTTTGTCAATTATATTGTACGAAATACTCTACTGTCCTGCTTAGTGTATTTGAAAAAAAATGGTTTACCCATGCCAGCAAACAGATCTCTACAAGAGACTATAAAATATGGTATAGTACATTCAACATACTTTGTAAATTTTTGTGTTCGATTCAGCTCAGAAAACATTTATTGGGCACCCGTATGTGCCAAGAACTGTGTGGAATTTAAATACTACCTTTATATATTTTGGACTCGACAGAAGTACCTTTTTAATGATATAAAATTTTTTTAATAATGTAGATTAAAAAGTCACAAAGCAGAAGAGCAATAAGTAGTCTTGGACTTATGATATGAAAATGTTTTATTTGCTACATCTCAAAAATTCTAGGCTGATACCCTTAGAAAAGGGACATTACTAGCAAAATTCCAGTTCCTTAAAGACTTAAAACCACCTGCACCAAGCACTGTGCCACCCAGAGCACCCTCTGGCCTAACCTCCAGGTGGCAGTGGCCTCCAACCCAACCTGGGGCCGCAGCCTCACAGGGGCCTAAACTCCCACTTTCAGTGTTGCCTGGTGGCCCAAGGCAACAAGATTATCTGTCTGTGAAAGCACGACCTTATGCAGCAAGTGCTTCTGGCTCTCCAGCCAAAAGCAATCAAGTTCAAGTTCCTCAAGTCACTCACATACTGTGTGAAGTGAGTGACTCTCAATCCAGTAGGTTAACTAACAAATTTTTTAAAAACTTAGTGTGACATTCAAGTCAGATAATTTAGAAAAGTGGGTGAGGTCCTCTATCATATATGACGCAGAATTTCACTCATTTTCTCATATACGTTAATAGAACACAGACATCTATATTAGTGTTCTCCTCTCAAGAAGCTGCTTATTTCAATAACGGTAACATTTTTCAAAATAGTTTTTATATCCTCTTGGTCATTTACATCTGTAAACGGTTCATAAACCAGACCCAAAAAAAATCGGTTTTATGACTATAGAGATACATTCTTCTAAACACAGTTAAAAAAGCATAAATAAAATAATCAGCATAATAGACAGGAAGAGTAAATGACTCTGAGATCAAACCCACTTACTAGTTATGTGAACTTGGGTGGGCCATTTACTTCTTTGAACTTGCCCAGCTATCAAATGGAGACAGCAGTTCCCTTCTTGCAGGGACACTGATGTATATACAAGTCTTCTTATGGAGACTCAAGATATGCTAGCCCCCTCCCTAGCATATCTCGGTAAGCTGCTCACCCTTTACGTATTTACCAGATTTGGTTCCAAGTTACGTTTAAGTCTCAAAAGCTAAGGCCCTAGATCCTGAGGCAACCTTGCTGGAAAAAAGATCCCGAATTCAGAGGGGTTTATTCTGAAGGAGACAACACTCATCTATCTGTATAAATTATGTTATATTTGTTTAATAAAGAGTCGGTTTACTTTACAGCCTCCTTAATTTGTTGCAAAATACTCATAAGAATGTGACTTAGGCCATGAAACTAATAGCAACAAAAAAATCTAAGAGTATGATATAGGCAAATAAGTGCTTTACATTTAATTATGAAAGATGAAATACATAAGTATAACCTTCTCAATACTGAATGTGGATTCAAGGTTTTCTTATCTCAAAATATCTGTACTCTGCAGGTACCTTGCATCTGAAACAAAGATCGAGAAGTCTGCCAAATAATAATAATGCAGACAAAGTAAATGACTGCTTTTACAGATGCCCTAACTATTAGAAACGTTTTGGGTACTAAGTAAACGATCTTATAAAATAGAAAATGTGGTTTTGCAATGCTAATTTTTACCCAGAAGGGAATAACCGAATTATCTCTGGATGGCAAGATAAATCCCCTTAACTGCTCCTTGATAAAAGGCATTATTTTCCTAGTGCAAAATTAGTCATTGCTTGCATAATAAAAAATTAGTTCCATTTTACTACGGACCTTTACTAAATTATGTATCCCATTTAAACCTACACCTCATTGGACTACTTAAAATATAAAGTGATGCATGTGAAGCACTTTTAATTCTCCAAGGGAAAATGAAACAAGCCATCAATTTCTATCACGCCAGGTTCTACAAAATGTTCTTTCACTCTGTGGAGCAAAATGGCTTTTTTGAAGCACAAGAGTAAAAATTTTTTCTTGTAAAATTCACTTCATTTTATAATTCAGAGAATGTTACAAGTGGGTTTAAATCTTCACTTGAGAACCTTACCTCCCTCAAGTTTTGTGTCATAATACTAGCCAGTGACTGGCATATAACCAAGGTACTGGAAAAGTCAGATTTCAAGATCTGTCCTGTTAGAGGAAACTGCTAGAGTCCCTTGAAGACTGAAAGACTATTTTCATAGAACAACCCAATCAATGAAGACAAACCCCCTAGAATACTTAAGGGGTCTGGCTGGCCTTGACTCTCATCCCAGCACAGTGGGCCCTGACCAGCTTCTGACCTGGCTCCTCCGGATCACCAGCTGGGAAGGTGGGGTCCCACTCTACATGAGGACTGGAAAAGGGGGTCCAAGACCTCCCATCTCAGAAAGTTGCTGTAATTTAATCTGTAAGGCAACAGAAAACACACACACACACACACACACACACACACACACACACACACACACAGACCTCTTTGGATGTGGCAATTGTAGGTGCATTTCTATTACTATGATTTTCTCCACAGGTCCTCTGGGCTCCTCTGTCACTCCCAGCATGTGATTCACTGCTGTAATGTCACCCTTCCGTTTCAGAAACAGTGAAAGAAAAAACACTGCTTTGACATTGGCATTCTGCTCTTTCTTACCCTGGACCTCCCCTAGTCCAAAGGTATATATGGGCTTCTAAGTCCCTTTTTTTAAAAAATATATTCAGTTTTGTTTTACTTGTCAAATACTTGGAACTTGGTTCCTATAAAACACAAAAACGGGCTGAAACTAATCTATGCTGTGGGAAGTCAGGACGGTGGTCACCCTGGGAAGGTGGTTTCTGGGGCGCTGGTAATGGCCTGTTTCTTTCTTCTTCAATGCTGGTTACCGAGTCTGCGGAGTTTGCGTAAATTTATCAAGCTGTACTCTTATGATGTATCTTTTCAGTATGTCAATAAAAAGTTTAATTAATAATAATACCTGGGGACTTCCCTGGTGGTCCAGTGGTTAAGACTCCATGCTTCCACTGCAGGGGGCACAGGTTCCATCCCTGGTCGGGGAACTAAGATCCCACATGCCGCATGGTGCAGCCAAAAAAAAAAAAAATACTTGGAGCTTAAATAACTAGGCTTTGTAAGTTTCAGAAACATAAGGAGAACTCTGTTTTGACAATGATAATGATGAAAGACAAAACTTCCTATTTCCTCAATCTCTTTTCCTACTTTATACAACCCTGTAAATCGGAACATCAGCTAACTAACCCGAGTGGCAGAATGGAAATAACTATCACTACACAACAGCCCCACGTCTCAGAGCTGTCGTGGGAAGGGGGAGAGCTGCTGAGAAAGAGAAAGCTGTGCACGGCACACCTACATAGAAGGTGGATATAAATGCTCATGGCAGACTGCAAACTGCAGTGCTTTCCCCTGACTTATAAGATTACAGGTGCTAACGGGAACCCTGGTGAGCCGGGACCAGGAGTGTCAGTTCTCCTGTCATTCTCAGGAGCCCAGGGCGCTTCTAAGTGTAGGCAGCCCACACCTGCTGGAGGCTGTGGGAGGAGCACAGGCCGATAAGGGGAGGGGGTGGGCGGGGAGGGGACAGAGAGAGCTGTCAGCCTACAGGTGTAAAGAGTTGAGAGGATTTGTTAAATGTAGGAGCTGGAATGGGTCCCTCTTCCCTGCCTGACTGCTGCACGAGGAACTATTAAAAGGCAAACCAGCCTGAGAAAGTGTCCCAGATCCAAAAAGTGCTGAAATTCAATTGTTTAGGTCTTCACAAATTCTTTCAGCACCTGCATCCTTAAGGGACTTAAGTATGTACTACCCCTCCCCCACCCTCTAGGGGTCGTTACCTCCCTCCCTCTCCCTGGGCTCCCATTGCCCCTGATCTCCCCTCTTTGTCAATTTAGTGGTCACCAGAGTCAAAGGGTTCTTTAAAAGGTCTAGTGGAAAGGAGGAGAAAAGGTGGAAGGGGAGGTAGTTATGAGGCCACTTTCAGGTTTTTTTGACTGGGAGCTCCAAACTTTAATTATGGTTTAAAACGAAATATACCTGAGACCCTTAAATAATCCACTCTAACAAAAAAACTCAAACCAACGGAGTTATTCTTAGCCTGGTTTGCACATAGCACCCAACCATTCCGCAGTAAAGAAATTTAACTGCAGTGATCCTAAACAGAGGCAAATGCCAACATTACCTTTGCCTAACACCTAATCCTGCAGTCCAAGAACTATACTTTGACAGGGACCATGTGAACTCTAGAAATTTAGATTTTTAGGAAAGAGTGAGTCCCCCCAAATTACAGCAATATTAAAAACAAAGCATAGGAGTCAAACGACAGAAATGTAGAATGGAGAGCCACTCTTCAGCAAGTCAGACCTACTGGGCTGCTAAACCGGGGGCCCTCTTGCTGTTGCTGGCTCAAAACCCAAGTGGTTTCCAAGGCTGTAGGTACAAGAAGCCATACGTCAACGATGGCTGACAAAATACAATACTTATTGCACACTGGTTCATGCTTCCTATTTTGGAATCTTATTTTTGTCATCTGCAATATAAGAACAAGTATAATCTTCCTCACAGAGGCATTTTGATGAGTACTTTGGGAATATATGATGCATTTTGAAACAATCGGGGTCATTTGGTCATGGACTATACATTAAATGATACTACTGAGTAATGTTAATTTTCTGATCTGTGATGATAGCATTGTGGTGTAGGAGACTGTCCCTGTTAATATGAGATGCATGCTTAAATTTTTGTGGAAAAAGTCTTATAAGGGCTACAACTTACTTTAAAATAGTTCATCAAAAACAAACATACGGGGCTTCCCTGGTGGCGCAGTGGTTGAGAGTCCGCCTGCCGATGCAGGGGACACGGGTTCGTGCCCTGGTCCGGGAAGGTCCTACGTGCCGCGCAGCGGCTGGGCCCGTGAGCCGTGGCCGCTGAACCTGCACATCCGGAGCCTGTGCTCCGCAACGGGAGAGGCCACAACAGTGAGAGGCCCGCGTACCGCAAAAACCAAAATGCCCCCAAACATATGCACACACAAACATACACACACATAAACAGTAATAAAAATTGAGAAGCAGCTTGACTGACGCCCCAGTTCCATGAAAGTCTAAGGAACTGGTATCACCAGGTACTTGCGGTAGCAGGGGCATAAAGGCAGGGGTGCCTAAGGAAAATTGGTTGAAAGTCTGTGTAACTCCTTCCCTCCCAGCTCTACGCAGTCAGGCTACTGAACCCAGGATTAGATGGGGAGTGTGCTCTTCGGAGAGGATGAAACAGAGGGTCTCTGAATCAGGCTAACCAGGCACAGTCAAGAGTCAGGGTACTTAATGTAAACATAGATGTTAACTGAATATTTACATACTGAATGCTAGGCATTCCTACCTTCTTCCTCCTGGCTCCTAGAAGTCAGTGTACGTATGGTCAGGCCACTCAAAATGACTCATCTCTTGCTCTCTGTACAGCCCCTGCATGAGCAGCACCTGCTTCACCTAAACCCTACTCACATGACTGACCTTCCGACATATTCGCCCCGACCCAGCTGGTGACTGTTCTAGTCTTTAGATCAGAACATCTCCACCTGATAGCTTATCAAAGGGGGAGTGAAGGGCATGCACCCCTGCTGGTTCCCCTGGTAACTAATGAGTCAGAGAAATTGCCCCCTATAATTGATGTCTCTATTGCCGACTCTGGGCTCTTTCTTCAGTCTTAAAGCTGGGCAAGCGCAGGCGTTGCAGGCCTGCAGGGTGCAGCCCAACAGTTAGCAACCAGTCTTTATCCTCCAAGAGATATTCTACAGAGCATTGAGCAGCCCACAAGGAAAGCCCTAAAGATATTGCTATTGAGGGTCTCACAAACAACACAGCCCAGCCAAATCCCCCTAAATGTAGGTTTGGGTAGGTATCACCTGTGGGTTGACCAATCCATTCCACATGCTTCCACTCTCAAATAAGAACAGCCAAACAAGCAGCGTGAGCTATCAGAGGAGAGTCTCTTACGAAAAAAAGAGAGACCAAGGCAAATATAAAACTGCAACAGAGACACAGAGGACAGACCATGTGACGACACAGGAAGAAGATGGCCATCTATAAGCCAAGGAGAAAGATCTGAGAAGAAATCAACCCTGCTGCCAGCTTGATCTTGAACTTCTAATCTTCAGAACTGTGAGAAAATAAATTTCTCTTTTTCAAGCCCTCCCCCCAACATACACAAAAGCAACAGAGATTTTAAAAGAAGAAAACAATTAAAAAATCAAAACTACCATTAATATACTGAGATAAGATGCGGCAACCATTAAATAAGAACAGAATACTGTATATTTAAAAAAAGATAATTTAGAGGGGGAAAAGCTTTAGGAAATTAAAAATATCATAGCAGAAATGAAAAGGACTCAATAAAAGGATTAGAAGATAAAGCCTCATCCAAAAAATGATGAGAACCAGAAAAGAGAAAATAAGAACATTGAAGGGCCAGTCCAGGGGATCCTATATCCGAATAATAAATTCCAGAAAGGGCAAAAAGAACAGAAAAGAGGGGAAGACACATCAAAATGATTCAAGGACATTTCCCAGAGCTGAAGGGTACAAGATTTCACATTGAAAGTGCTCAGCATCAGGACATTTCAGAACACTGGGAACAAAAAGAAAAAATCCTATAAACTTCCAGAGAGAAAAAACAGCAGTCAAGGTCTCAAATAATTCATTTCCCATACACCCTTTCTCAAGAAGGTATTGGAGGGAGTACTCTGCTAAAACAAGAGTAAATCAAGAAAAAGGAGGACTTGGGATACAGGAAATACAAAACCAGCACAGGAAGGAGTAGCAAGCTGTGTGCAGATGCCCAGGGCAAGTGGTCCAGGAGGGAGTGTGAAAAGTTCTCCAAGGAGATGAATCAATACCTCATGTGTCTGAATATATGAAGGAAATTTAGGCCACTGGAGAAGAGTTTGGAGTTGAAACAATAATAATACAAAACTAAAAGAGCAAGGCAATTATTAACACCGGGGAAGACAAAGAGTGGTGCAGGGAAGGAGAAGTAATCATCATTAATCATCACTAGTTCAAGGCTCAGCTATAAACAGAATTTATATAATCACACTCAGGGACAAGGGATCTAACCAAAATTACGATATATCTATGCTGGGAGTAGCAGTGGGGACAGAAAGGGTGAATGTGTTGTGAGGAGGTGTGTGGGAAGACAGACAAGGGTTAAATCTTCATCTTCCCTAGCAGGAAGTCATTAGATAATTCCTCAAGCTCCTAAGTCAGAGAGCGGCAAGACACTGTATTATTTAAAAATTTGGATGTAAATACCAAAAGAATGTGCCAAAAGAGTTTAAAGTGAGAGCCACTGGGGAGTGGAGAATGAAAAATAAGGGGATGGAAGACTGCTGGAGGGTTTTCTTGGTAACAAATCTTTGATTATGTACATGCATCTATAATTTATTTGTATATGTAACTACTGAAAATAAAATACATATGCATAATTTAAAAGATACTGTGAAACATTTCTGTTTGCCAAGTTACTATATATCTCTAAAATTCCTCTTTGTTATGAAACTATAGGTGAATAATAAACGTGTTTCATTATATACAAACCATTATATTTGAAAAAGTATAAAAGAATTTGCTTTCATATTAAATTATTAATACATTTAGGTCTATGTGATCATTTTCTTAGCATATAGAAGTGCTGATTCCAAGTACTAGGGCCAATGCCATTTCATAGCACCCGTGGTAATATAAAGTACTCACAAGCTCTAGTGGACTGAGACGTGTGCCAAAGATGGGCCTGGAATCAGAGGACTCAAAACTGGATGCATGGACGCTAGCATAGGAGACAGAATAGAAGTGTTAGTTTGTAAAGAATCATTTTTTAAAATTTCTAGTATATGTTAGCTAACTCTAGACCCCAAACAAGTAAAAGCATTCAATGCATAAGCCTTAAGGAAGAAACGATTTTTAAAAATCATAGTACTTTAAACATTTCATTAACAACTCTTTTCTTGCTTTTAGGAGGATTGTAAATATTGAATAATGAAAAGAAGGAATGTATACTGTAATTTTTTAAAAAACTTTGTTCATATCACTTATAAAGTTGGTATGACAATCATTATTAACCATTTCAAACCAAAGCAACTTCTTGGACCCAAGGTCTCGAAATATCTTTAGAAATCTTGAACAGATATAACAGGTATAATTAGCAGAAGTCACACTTAGAAAAGCAACTATCTATAACTAGAATTAAGGGAAAACGTCATCTTCATACATATATATACTTGAGTGTATAGGCAAGAGAAATTTTAAATACCTGAAGGAAGATGGGGGTCTATTTTCTGGTGTTCTTGAAGATGCACGTCCAAATAGTTTTCTTTGGTCTTCCCGTGGTGTAAATGGTCTTTGGGTCCTAACAGTTCTTAAGGCATTTCGTGCTTCACTTATGATTTCTGCACTAGTCTTCTGCTCGGACACTGAAGGTCGGTAAAACGGATCTAGCTTTTCTAACTTTTTATCATTTGGAGACAGCATCTTTCCTTTTAAAGTGCAATGTTCTTCAGGTAGACACCACACCCTGCAAATATAGGGTACAAAATATCAACTATTTTCATCCAGTCATTTAAAAAGGAGTGCTCAAACCCAACCATACATACTTAAACCATTCCTGTATATTAAACTTGAAAAAAAAAATCACAACTTTTAATTAAAAACCTACCACGCAGTTACACTTAGAAGATCAGGAAGGGAAAAGAGCTTTCAAAAAAATAGGTTGACGTGCACAGTGATGCTTTTGGGAATACATGCGATTAAGGGAAATGACGTGCAGGGAAGAGACCTAGAGTGAAAGCTAAACCTGGAGAGAAAGAGGATAAATCGTGAAAGAAGACACCCCAGGAAGGGAAAACCATCTCATAGTCTCCAATCTATAAAAAACACACTGGGTGGCAGGGCAGAGGGGTTCTGCTAAAATGTTTAACTGAAGTTTCCCTTTTTTTTCCCACTGCCTTCCACATAAAATGCTAGTATAAGATTAAAGTTAGGGCTTCCCCGGTGGCGCAGTGGTTGAGAGTCCACCTGCCGATGCAGGGGACACGGGTTCGTGCCCTGGTCCGGGAAGATCCCACATGCTGCAGAGCGGCTGGGCCCGTGAGCCATGGCCGTTGAGCCTGCGCGTCCGGAGCCTGTGCTCCGCAACGGGAGAGGCCACAACAGTGAGAGGCCCGCATACCGCAAAAAAAAAAAAAAAAAAAGATTAAAGTCAGTCAGATGGGGCCTCTATCCAAACTATATCAGCTTTCATAAATGTACATTTTTTAAAAATGTAGCTTTTATAAATGTAGCCTCAGAGAAAGGTTCAGCCTTACATTTGCCTATGATATATTTGAATGAGTTGATTCAAATCACCTTCAATTTGAAATAATGTCCTACATGAATAAATACCGAATATCGATATCAAATGATTCTTTCCCAGGCCACCGCCCTCGGTTAAAAAGTTAAAGTCACGCATAAGGGCCATGAGAATGCAGATCCTTCTTTACGCTCGTGTGCCCATGGAGGCCTGGCTAACCTGGCAACACACCTCTGACAGCTCTACACTTTAAAATAGTCGAGATTTTAAAAACTTAATTCTAATCAGTACATTCAGTGTTCATTAAAAAAAAATGTTGTATCTCCAGGGAGACTGAGGTCTGTAAATTATTCATATATCTCAGTTGCCCAATTTTAGAATAACTTCTGCGAAAAAGAAAAAAGTTTTGTGACATATGCCCAAGGAAACTAAAAAGACACCATTTTTGTAAGTAGAATCTACAGGTGATTCCTTAGACAACTAAAGAGGACTTAACTGTATTATGATTCTATACATTAAGGTGTTACTTAACAACAGACAACAAGAACATTTGTTTAGTTCTACCCTCCATAAGAGTTTTTGAGGAAAAGAATATGATAACTGCAAACAATATGCTGTTCCTTTCACATGGAAAGGCCAGGTGTTGAAGTAAAACAGTAATAAATTACTAGATAAGCAACACTATTCTAGGAATTTTTGATATAGGAGTTCCAATTTAAGCAAGGTCTCCGGAATTATGTATATTAGAACAATCAACAAAAACTGTGGCAGGCCTGGTACATTTACTTCTAATATGATATGATATCCTCTTTCCTAAAAAATATTCAATATTATTAAAAATAAATATAAAGTGTTTCATACACACTATATATATGTGTATATATATATAATTTTTTGATGCATCATAATACAAATTCAGAACCACAACATCTAACTTCAGTGTCCATGGCAAATTTGTTTGCTGGTTTGCTTTTAAAAGGCCCACTGAAGTAAGAAAAAAAGACATCTCAGTACAATGAACAAGTTTCTTCCAAAGACCAGATGAGGTTTGTGATGCCTTAGCCCCACACGGCACTAATAAGTTTAGGGATGTCCAAAGGTGATCTGGCAAAACTAATTAAGATTAGAGAATGTGCTTTGGATGAGTAATAATGGACCATCATTCCTGACTAAGGTTGTCCTTGGCTGTATTTTAGTTTACATTGAAAACTATACCCTTTCATAGAGTAATGAAGGAGGTCAAATTCTAAGACCTCTGTAAATTATTTGGGCATACAGGAGTTTAGATTGATCAAATAACTGCTGGAAACCATGTACATAATGGGTTTAAAAAACTTTTCGTCTGTAAATTTTTACCACAAATTCTAACACAACTTTCTCCCTTTGCCTCTCTCTTCCCCGCAAATCCCACTTTAGCAGCTATATTGTGAGAAACTGTTTCAATAATGTAGTATCTGCTCAGTTAATCTATTATCATATCAATATTAATATATTAGTAACTAACTCAAACATGGAAATGTTCAATAATGCAAGTGAACTGAGTTAGAAGTGGGGGTTTTTTCAGGGGGGGAGTATTTTCTTTATAATTATTACATTACAAATTCTTATTAGAGATGGTTTTTGCCAATTTAAAAAACGATCAGAGTTTGAAAGCTTGTCTATTTATAGTAAAGTATGCCTGAACCATAACACAATAACACAATAGTATCACAGAAATTTTAACTTTACAAAAATTCTCCTGACAACTGGAACAGATCCATCCAGCTAGGATAGATGAACTGTTTCCTCCCCTTGGACCTCAGGGAACACAGACTTCACCGTCTTCACTCTCAGGCAAGGACCAACCACTAATGCTATTCAACATTTACTTTAATACCAAGCAGTGTGCTAAGTACTCCCAAGTACATCATCTCAATTAACTCTATGAGGTGGATAAAGTCTTAAGCAATAGCATGCACACACATGCACAGACACAACCTAAGACATACGCCCAGGGCTGATATTGAAACTATTACCCACTGGATGGGGTGATGGAAGGTGGGGACTCAGAGGCCCTGGGGCTACAGCTATTTACACACCAATATAGAAACATGCCGGTGTTTTCACAAGTAGAGCAGCTTTCTTGGTGTGAACCAGCTGGGTATCAGTCCTGCTTGTACCCACCTGCTTTTAATACAAGGTAGAAACTGATGGGGGCAATACAAAATATAGAGATAAACTACCATGTGATTATGAAAGAGAAAGGGATTTCTGATTGGGAGGTGTCAGGCAGACATCCTAGAGGAGGTGATGCTTGAGCTAGGTTCTGGAAAATGGTCTGAATTTGAACAAATGACAATGGCTGACACTGGGGCTGGAATAGAGGAGGAATTTCCAACCAAGTCAATGAGTGAGGCAAGGCAGAGTATCAAGGACATATGGGGTGTGCGCTGGAGAGGAAGGAGCTCTGGAAATGAAAACTGGAGTTGTAGCAGAGACAGAACTGAATGGCGGGTCAGGAACGTAAATACAAGCTGATAAGCAAATTAAAAGATGTTGAGGCATGATGTGATGGCAGGAATGGGCAGGATGGAAAAAACTAGAAGGGACAAGATCAGGCAGTTTTTATATAACCACCCAGCTAACTCTTAGAGGTCCTCAAGAAAGCTTTCCTGGACATGCCTCTCCCACCCTCAATTAGGTGTCCCTCCGCCATACTCTGCAAGGTCCCCCGTGGTCTCTGTTAGCACACCCCACCCCTCACTGGGTTAGAATTGCCCACGCACCTGGTGTTGCCCCACCAGACTCTGAGCCTTAGCTCTTCACATGAAGTACAGCTTAAAGTCAGCATTTGTGTAATCGCTGGACTCCATTTTCAAATACAGACCCAAGCTAGAAAATATCCAGATGAAGGCTGCATGGCTTCTGAATTGGAGGCATTTGTTACAGTGGATTAAGAAAGCACATGGGACTTTATTTCAAATGGCATCTGATTCTTGATGCCATGGGGTAATATGAGATCAAATTTAGCCCCTTTTTGCTTTCTTGCTTTCACTTCAAGTTGCCCGGCATGGAGTAAGACTTGATAAATGCTGTGATTAGTGGATGGGGCACTGAAAGCCCGAAGCATAGGAGTGAAGGTGAAATAGAGTAAGAAGAGAGATGAGAACAAGTAAGGTGCACCAAGAACACAAGAACCAACAGGATTTGGCATCTGAGAGGGCAGGAAGGGGGCAGAGGTGACACTGGGTATGTAAACTTAGGGAGGTTGGGAGGGCAAGGTGACCTTTTAAAAGAAAACAGGAGGGGCTTCCCTGGTGGCGCAGTGGTTTACAGTCTGCCTGCCAATGCAGGGGACACGGGCTCGTGCCCCGGTCCGGGAAGATCCCACATGCCACGGAGCGGCTGGGCCCGTGAGCCATGGCCGCTGAGCCTGCGAGTCCGGAGCCTGTTGCTCCACAACAGTGAGAGGCCCACGTACCACAAAAAAAAAAAAACAAAACAGGAGGAGGGACTTCCCTGGTGGTCCAGTGATTAAGACTCCACACTTCCAATGCAGGGGGCCTGGGTTCGATCCCTGGTCGGGGAACTAGAACCCGCATGTCGCAGGACCCAGCACAGCCAAATAAATAAATATTTTTTTAAAAAAATAAAAGAAAACAGGAGGGGATGTGCACTTTGAAGGGAAAGAAGCAGCTGAGTTCTGTCTTGCATCACTGTCTTGAGTTTATGATGTCCACAGGACCTCTAGCGGATGACCACCACCAGCGGTAGGAAATTTGAAACTGGCGGCCTTTTCAAACAAAATATTTCTTATTGGTTAGCGGAAAAGTTGTGCGTTGTCATTTATAAGTTTATACCTAATTATAAAGATCTGTCTTTACCTCTGCTGCTAACAGTCACCTGAAACAGGCTTCTTGCTAAATGTAACACGGCACTATCAGGATGCTTGCAACAGGGGAAAGACTGGCCATCTCCATACTCTTTTTCCTGCAAATCAAATACTCAAGACCCTTACCATGATTCTGAATGACTTCCGTGTTAATATGAGTATCCAAAGAAGCAGTGATTAAATGCTTAGATGCTGGAGTAAAGGTTCAAATAATCTGACAATGTGCAGCTATGTAACCTCGGGCAAGGCTTCTAACATCTCTAAGCCTCAGTTTCTTCAGCTGTAAAAAGTGCGTAGTAATTGCTTCATAGGATTGTTTTGAGAATTAAATGACAAAATTAATGTAAAGGGCTTT